TTCCCGAGGGCCAACTACAACTTCATCATTCAGAATATATGAACAATTTTCAAATTTTATCTTGACATATCAGAACTGACCAATTTTTTCTTGAAACTCTTTTCTATCCTTAGCTTTGGTGGTAGCATGTCTGCACAATTTGCTGCTTTTTCTTAACCCTCTTGCACCCAGTTGCCCTTTTGTATATTGATGTTCCTCCTGGGTTTAGTCATTCCTTTTATGTTCTGAAATCTTGCCTGGGTTATCTCATCCATTCTCATGGTTTCAATGACAACGTATATGCAAAATGACTTTCCAATCTATACTTTTACCCAGATCTCATTCCTTACTCCAGATTCATAAACCTAACCATTCAATGTCTTGCCAGTTGACACTTCATCTATTCTACAAGCATGTCAGACCCTCACATTTATACATTCTAAACTTTCCATTCAATTCTGCTTTTTCTCTATACCCTACCACCAAAATAAGAAACCTGGGAGTCATGCTAGATTGCTCTTTTCTTTCCGACTTCCTGCCCTTGCTCAGTTTCAATATACTGTCAATTTCACTTCTGAAATACCCCTCACATCCATCTCCTCCTCCTTATCCCCACAGTTGCTAATGGAAACTAAGCAACTGTTCAAACTTTCATTTCTTGGTCCATATCAGTTCTTTCCTGGGTCCCTGTAATGGTCTATCAATTAGTCTTTTTACCTCTAGTAATCTTACTTTTTTTTTTTTTTTTAATAATCTGTGCTACTCAATGTTAACAGAGTAATAAACATAAATAAATCAGACTACATCACTCCTAAAAATCTATCATTTTCATCCCTGTCACCTTTAAGATGAAATCTAAATGCCATCACATGGTATATACACTCTTCATTCATGTTGTCCTTCCGTATCTACTAGCCTAGTCTCTTCTTATGCTTTTCACATGCATTTTATACTTCTTTACAAGAGACAACTTACCTTGCCCTCAAGAACCTGGTAGCAAAGCGGTGAAGGGCAGAGGCTCTGGACTCAGACTTCCTGGTTTAAGTCTTGACTTTATTATTTAGTAAGTCTACTGTGATCTTGTTCAATATATTTACTTAACCTTTACATGTCTCAGGTTCTTCATCTATAAAATGGGGTATATCTTGGTACATATTTCAAAAGATTGTTGTGAGAATCGAATGAGGTAATACTTCTCACATTCTTGGAGTATTGTCCAGCATAGAGTCAGAGCTCAGCAAGGGTTTGCTTCTGTTATCTCCTGGCCTTTATACCTGGTGTGCACTCTGCCTGCAATCCTACATCTCTCTCCTCCCTCTTCTCTGCTCAACTACTTTAAGACTAAGCCAGTTTTATTTTCCTTAGGACCCAGACTTCCACGACCTTCAGGCTATAAATGCATAATTCTGTCATAGTTCTTAGTGCCTCCCCCACTAGATTGTAACTTGAGAGCAGGAATTGTGTTTTTACTGTAGTATACCCAGAAACTTGCATATAAAAATTGCCATATATATATATGTATGTGTGTATATATATATATATGTGTGTGTGTGTGTGTGTGTGTGTGTGTGTGTGTGTGTGTGTGTGTATGATGAACACGTGAATATGATATTTTGGGTGAATTCATGTTTTAGTTATCCCAGGGCTCTAAAGCCCAAGGGGCATTTTTCCTTGGATCTGTAGCACTTTTCCTTTCTGCTCTGTTGTGGGGTGTGAAGGGGGAGGGAAGGGGAGAAGGAATGAACGGCTCTAGCTCCTAAGAACTCTACCTAGTGTCTGAGCATAGGAATATGCTTACTTTGGGGAGGCTGTTCATCTTACACTCTGTTTCCACTAACCTGAAGAACCACAGTTAGACACACATGAAAGCTCCCACAGCCCTCCTAGGTCAGTTAATAGTAGTTCGTTGAACAAATGAATGAAGAAATACCACATCCAGAGGCTGTATTGTAGTAGTAGGAGAAGCCATTAATTTCTCTTGAATTCCAGTCAAATAGTGGAAAGGGAGCTCCTACTGGACAGTAAAACTTTTCATCAACTGGGAAAGGCATTCAGAACATGTGAGGACTGGAACAAAAAGTTTAGGTTAATACCGCATCCTTGGCTACCTCACAATTACCTCTTTTGCAAACTTTGCAAATGCTTACAGGGTAGGTTGATCAAATAAAACCAATTTATAAAAGTGCAGATTCTAATACATAACTTTAGATGTTTCAAAGATATTCTACCTACATAATCTGATATGTGAAGCAGAATAAAGCTCAATAGTTCTCATGCAGGTAGAGGCAGCAGGGACAGTGGTAATTTTATAAGGACCCTAGGCTTTTTCAAATCACACAGATTCTTCCCCAAAGCTATATGAATCATTTGTTTACGTACTTAACCAACAAGTACTGAGTGCTTTCTGTATGTGAGGAACTATGAGTACAGAGATGACCAAAGTTGACATTATTTCAGCCCTTGTGGGGCTTAGTCTCATGGAGGAAGAAATACTCTGAAGAGTCATTTAGAACATAATGAGAGAGGTGCTAGGAGCTTTGGAAGTGGTAGATCATTTTCCTGCCTTAGGCTTGGCAGTGTTAGGATTTCTTCCTTGTAGTGAAGATATCTATCTAAAAGATAAAGAGGAGCTAGTCACAGAAAATGGAAAAAGACCTATCAAATGTTCTGCCCGAAGGAGTCAGTATTTGTGTTGCAGGACATTAGGTTGGACATATGGTACCCTGGAATTGTCAGGACGCCAAAGTGAAAGATATCTTCTAGAGGTGGCAAGTCAGTTCTGCTACCAAACCATACCCCAGTACCCCATCCTCTACCTTCATAAGAAATAAACAGAAGATGGTGTGGAGGTGAAGAGAGAAAGGGGATTGATGGAGTTATGTGTCTATTGCCAGCCAAAGGATTGAGTGCTATGCATTTTGTCCTCACCTCCAAGTAAGGGGCCTCCGAGAGAACCACTCATAAAAACTGGTGGGTTGGCAAGGAGAGACTAGCATCGCTGTTCTTGGTTGGGTATCTTCTAATGAGCTTGCTGAATATATTCTCTATGATCATTGGAGTAAAGAGGGAGGGTTGACAAGGAAAGAGATGTCACTCCTATAATTTGGTTTACCAAGGATGTGTGAATTTCCTGTAAGTCAAATAAACAGTGTGGAAATCAGCAGGGTTTAAGTCATCTTGCTAATCTTCCCCACCCCCACCACCACTGCCCCACTCCAAAAAAAAAAAAAAAAAAAAACAACAACAACAACAACAAAAAACTGGCAGCCAAGAGAGTTTAGTTATACTGCCAAGGGCAGGACCTGAGGGCTTGTGGAAATAGTTAAGCTGGAGCAGATTTCCCACCAGAGGATTATACAATGGGGAGAGTTCCAAGGACACCAACCCATGTGATCATAAGAGTTAACATTTGGGCACCTTCCATATGGAAGGTATCCATGATGAGTTAGCTTAGCCTGAGGCAGAGAACCAACAGACGACTGCAATTATATAACCAGCTAGTAAAAGGGCTTTTTGCCCTTCTTCTCTCAACCCTTCCTCCAGGTCCCAACTCAAAAAGTAGTTCAAATAGGGAGAGAGATCTTTCTATTAAAGAACAGAATGCACTAATTCCCCCAAACCAAGTCCCACTGCCGAAGGCTGGCTGGTACTGAGCGAGGAGTTTAAAATTTGACATGAGATTGAAGTTTTAAAGTGGACTACCCTAGTCTGTACTTTTAATAACTAAGTTAACAGAAAGCTAAAGAATCTGTCAGAGCTGGAAAGGGAGAACTGACAGAGTATGGTGGAAGACACTGGTTAAAACCATGTCAAGATTGTGTTGAGCAGAGTTCAGAGTGTTCATGAAATTGTTTATATCTGCGAAGAGCCCTTGAGGTAAGAGACAGCCTGGTGTGGTGAAGGAACTGATAGTATTTGAAGATAGTTGGAACACAGAGTGAGAGAAGGCTGGAGGAGTTGGAAGAGGCCAGGCCATGGAAACCTTAGGGTGTTTGTACTTTATTCTTGGGGCAAAGGGAAGCCATATGCTTTAATGATAAAATTTGCATTGTAGAATGACCTAACAGGGAGTAGGGTGAGGACTGGAGACAGGGAATCCATTTTAGCAAGAAATAATGGTTATCTGTGAATGACAGCACGGATGGAGAAAAGTGGTTGGATTGTAAGATATTTAGTGGAAACCTTAGGGTGTTTGTACTTTATTCTTGGGGCAAAGGGAAGCCATATGCTTTAATGATAAAATTTGCATTGTAGAATGACCTAACAGGGAGTAGGGTGAGGACTGGAGACAGGGAATCCATTTTAGCAAGAAATAATGGTTATCTGTGAATGACAGCAGGGATGGAGAAAAGTGGTCGGATTGTAAGATATTTAGGAAGAGAACTATCAGGAATTGCTGATAGAGGAAAAAGCCAAAGAAGATTCTCTTTCCAGCTGATTCCAGAAATGCTGTCCTGTTTCCAGATCCTGCCCTCACTTCATTAGGATGCTGGACCAATGCTCAGGTCAGCCTTTTGTTCCTCTGGGGCACAGTGTTTAGTTAGGGAGGCTGCTCGGTCTGGAAACTGCTGCCCCCTTGTGGGTACCAGCAATACCGTTTCTACACAATCCTCTCAGCAGCTTGAGGGGGCCGGCCGCAACTCAGGTGTCATCCCGGTTTCACAGATGAGGAGGTCGAACTCCCAATGTTTAAGTGACTTGCCCAATTACTCCACAGCTGGTTTGTTAAAAGGACAGCCTTATCCAAAATACGATGCCTCGAACATAGCAATGGAAACAGAACCCCGTGACAGCTGTCCGGGTTTTCTCAAGGTGCACACGTGTTCCAAGTCCAAGGTCCCAGAGAATGTGGGAAAGGGTGCAAGTGCCACGGTTATGGGGCCCACCCCGACACTAGGGGAAGTGCGCATGCGCCACAGATCCGCGACCCGCTACGTCAGAAGCGGAGCAGTGCGCACGCGCCGCAGGTCCGCAGCCCTCCGCAGAAGAGGAGGGGGAGGGCCCTGAAAGGAGTGGGTTGACTTTGCAGCCCGCGTTCCGTCAGTGGAAGCCGTGCCATGAAGATCCTTTCCTATGCCTAGGACCAACGCCGTACGGTCTTGCTGTAAGCATCGCGCCTTTGGAGTCCCCGAGGGTCAAACTGAACGAGTCACGGAAGTGCCCCCCTCCTCGTGGCCTTTCCGCAGCAGAGGAAATTGGGGAAGTTTATTGGCTGGTGAGAATGGGGAGACTGGGTATCTCGGCTTGCGCGTGGGGCACCGTGGGTGTTGTAGTTTCGGAGGTTGCGGTCCAGACTTTTCAAGACAAAGCTTTGAGGCCAGTAAGTCTGGGCTTGTGCGAGAAGTCCCTTGCACAGGAGAGTCAGGTGTGAGGCACCTGCGTGGATGTGGCGTTGTTCTGCCATTTCTGTTTCCGGTGAGACTTCGTTCTTTGTGTCTCTCCTTCAAGGACCTTCATTTGGTTCCATACCTTAGGCTTCCCTCCTTATAAAATCCCTTGTTATCTACAGACCTTTCTTTATTATTCCTAGTTGGCTCGGACTAGTCTTAAGTTCCCCTTCTCGGCTGCCTTGTAGCCGGTCCTTGATTCCTCCTCCATCCCTCTTTTCTCGTGAGTACCTTGTCTTGTCGCAGCCCTCGACAGAGCCCCTTTAACATCCTGGCCCATGAGTCATTCCAAGGACCCCAGGAAAAGGATCCCACAGCAAATGTTCGTAGGCTCAAGCAGATCTGAGTCTCCCACTTCAGCAGCTTTGAAGCTCAGTTTTTTCTTTTCTGATCATTGCCTCTTTTCTGGTTCCACTTCTTTGATGGACCATCCTTAACCATAGGTGGCTAGGCCACTCTTGGTCCAGTCACTTTGTCTCTGACCTCCATAGTTTGGTAATCCTATAGAGGGCCCAAACCTGCCTTGATTTATAGGACAGAGTGGGAGAAATGAAAGAAACTGGAGAGAAAAAAAAGAAACAGCTAAACTAGATTTTATAGAGGTCAGGAGATATATGGTGAAAGAAGAGGAAGCAAGAGCAAATCTTTTCTTCTTGTACCTCCACAAACTGTTTAGTGCTGACTATGAGCAGTTCACCAACTGTTTAGGGCTCTGTGGACTCTGCTGGGGATACACTAGCCCCAAACAACCTAGATGTTGTGGCTCCAGTCAGTGAGGACAAACGTACAGATAAGCAACAAGTGCAGGATGGCACCAGGCTCTTCTGCAGAATTCCTGTGTGTTCCTCTGCTCATTCCCGTCCCTCAGTTTATTCCAAAGTGTTTTGCCTCTTCGCGTCTCCCTTTGTTCCATGCTCTTCTTCCCATTCTCAAACTCCATTCTCTCCTTTTTCTGACCCAAGCTCTTTGTTTTGTATCTTGCTGTTTTGTCACCCTGACACCCGGAACAGTGTCAGGAACAGGCATTTCCCTAGGGGATTTACAAATAGAGAATACTCCATGCCTGACCTTCATCTTTATGTGAGAAATATCTATTAACTGCATTCTCTCAGTTTTGTGCACGTTGCTTGTACTAGAATCACTCACATATCTTTCATGCTCAATGCTGCACAATTATGGAATCCTTGCATCCAAATTGATTTACTTCTGCTGCTGCCTATTTAGTGGTGCAAGAACTCTGAGTCTAAGAAGTTAATCTCATGGAGACAGTAATCAGAAATGACCCATTCATATGTGTTGGGAAGTAGAATCCTGTATTAATGGAACAGATATTCCCTCGCATTAAAAAAAAGTCTACAGCATTAAAAAAAATGCTACCCTGAACGTGCCTGATCTCGTCTGATCTTAGAAACTAAGCAGAGTCGGGCCTGGTTAGTACTTGGATGGGAGACCACCTAGGAAGACCAGATGCTGTAGACTTTAAAAAAAAAAAATAGAATAGAGAGCCTAGAATATTAGAGATGAAACTCATTCCCTTTCATACAAAGGGAAGTGGGTGACCAGAGAGAATGACTAGGGACCTGAGCACCATCAGAAAGCGTTCAGATTATCACTATGCAGTCACAGTTGATATAACCTACATTTTACAGAGAGCTTTATAATCCTTTTAGCAATGTTTATAAATCATAATGTGGAATTCATTTTTTAAATGGCAAGAAATATTATTTTAAGCACAGGAATGTGTAAGTATGAATACCTCCCAATACTGAAAATTAATTTGTGCCATGTTTTGCCCACAAAAGGAATCAGTGATCATTTTT